AGAGGTTTGGATCAGCGCTCTCTGGAGTCTCCAGTAATGAGACAAGATCTCATCAAAGTTCTTCACAGGACGGATAGCCTCAATGGCTGGGACATCTGGAAAATGGGATCACAGGTTCAGAATAGCAGGGTCAGCCATTGAGAGGAGAAATTTCTTCACTCAACGGGTTATTCATCTTTGGAATTCTCTAGGGTATTCAGTGCACAGAGATGGATAAGTTTTTTTGGGAATAAGGGAGTGAAATAATATGACACTTGTGACGGAAGTGGTGTTGAAATCGAAAATCAGCCATGATCTTGTTGAATGGTAGCAGGTGCAAGGGGCTGAATGGCCTACTCCAGCTCCTATTTGTTAAGTTGACCTGAGGAAGATTTTCCTGCTGTACAGTGTTGGTGCTGAGTGAGGGGCTCTACCCACCAGATGGGGGCTCCTTGGCTAACCCCATCACTTCAGAGCAGTCACCCCAGGTTCCTTCAGTATCCAACCAGCTAACAGTGGATATCTAAGACCATGAGAAATAGGAACAGGAGGAAGCCATTCAGCCCTTCGAGCCTGCTCTACCATTCAGTAGGATCACGGTTGATCCGACAATCCTCACGTTCACTTTCCTGTATTTTCCTCGTAACCCTTGATCCCCAACTGATTTATTTATTTATTCATTCATTTAATCTATTTATCTCAGTCTTAAATATGCACAAGGACTGTGCCCCCACAACTCTCCATGGCAAGGAGTTCCAAAGACACTCAACCCTCTGAGAGAGGAAATTCCTATTCATCTCAGTCTTAAATTGGTCCCTTTTATTTGAAACTATACCCTGTGGTCCTAGACTCTCCCGTGAAGGGAAACATCCTCTCAGCATTTACCCTGTCAAGCCCCGAAAGAATCCTATATGTTTCAATGAGACCAACTCACATTCTTCTAAGCTCTAGTGAGTAGAGTCTCAACCAGTTTAACCCTTGTTCATAAGACAAGCCCTCCATACCAGATGTCATCCTCGTGAAATTTTCTGAACTGCCTCCAATGAAGTGATATCTTTCCTTAAACAAGAGGTTCAAAACAGTGTCAGTACTCCAGATGTGGTCTCCCCAGCACCTTGTGCAGTTGCAATTAAGATTTCCCTACTCTTATACTCCAACCCCCTTCAAATCAGAGCCAAAATTCCATTAACCTTCCTGATTACTTGCTGTACCTGTGTGCTAGCTTTCTGTACTTTCTGCATTAAGTACCTCTCAAGTCCCTTTGTGTTGCAGCTTTCTGTAGTTCTTCTGCATTTAAATAATGCACCCTAAACAATAAATGGAACTGCACAGAAAGAAGTTGTTAGAGCATCTCTACCCTGAAATGAGGACACACCAGTACTGCATTAGATTTGCAGTCACAGAGACTGACCTCAGTAGAAATACAGTCATCTGTCACTGTCTTGCTCTCCAGTCGCCCCCAGACTCAAACTGTCTGTGATAAAGGACATCCTGTGTACTGCGGCATTTCATTTCCATCTTGCCTCTTTTCAAATCTCTCTCTCACTCCATTTTAACCTCATTTACAGCAAGCACTGAGGAATTCACTGTGTTCGTGCAATTCTCAAAGCACGGCTTTGCCCTTGAGAAGCTCACACAATTGGCATTAACATCACAAGGAGCATTTCTCATCTCATCCCACACAATCAGCAAAAGCCAACTGATGAACAGTTGCCAGGCAACGCAGCTTCAGAATGTTTGACCTGTCCTTGAGATTGTTCTCAGTGCTCTGTGACCCCCACCCCTCAGCTTTGGGTTCATTCACACCTTGCCCTTGGGCTGGGAGAGCCCAGTGTGTACTGTCCAGTACAGGGGACAGCAAGCACTGCATCTCATAACACTGAGAAAATATGGGTCTGACTAGCAGTAAATACAGGTACACACTTCCACAGCAACGCATCTCCTCTTGTCTTGTTTAGGGATGGTTAAGACAAAATTGCAGTCTACAATCACACAAATCCCTAGTTTACAGAATCACAGAAGTATCACGGAGCTGAAGGAGGCCATTCAGCCCCTCGTGCCTGCACCAGCCCTGTTATCGAGTGCCACACTCATGCCTTTTACATACATGCAGAATCCTGGATGGATATGGCACAGGAAGAGTTACTGGGGAAGGAAGAAGGGGACATTGTTTTAACAAAGTGCAACAGGAAACGGCAGATCAGAGAATCAGTCACGCGCTTTCCACAGTTTCTTGGAAACAGATAGTGGAACGGTGGTAATGTCACTGAACTAGGAATTCCTGCAAGTCCAGGCTAATGCTCTGCAGAGATGGGTTCAAATCCCACTTTAGCAGCACACAGTGGGATCTGAATTCAGCTTAATTAAATGTGGAATATGAAGCTACGCTGCAATGGTGACCATGACAACTGTCACTCAGTTGTTCCATCTGGTTTGCTAATGTGTTTTAAGGAAGGAAATCTGCCATCATCACCTGGTGAGGCCTATGTCTGACCCCAGCAATGGGTGTTGGCTCTGAACTGCTTGGTTCAAGGGCAATTAAGAAATGGGCAAAATTCTTTGAGCTACCAGTGTCACCCACATTCCATGTAAAGAATTGTTTAACGTAACACGAGTGGTGACTCCATGTTCCCCTCACCATCTCACACCTTCACCCAAAGTCAATCTCCCCCCACTTCGCGCTCCACACCCACACCCCTAACCCCATTCCCCCAGTAAAGGGGAGGGAAGCCAAAGAACACGATCCATCTCTGCCACTTACCATTGCGACAATTTGCAGGGGTCATGTAAAGGGCATGTATCACTGATGGACAGTTTACTGCTTGTTGTTGGAGGTGATCAATGTTTAATTAAATAAATTGAGTGGGCAGATTGATAAAGGATCAGTGGGAGTGGGATGTCCATTCGATACAGCATTACTGTGGGAGCTGTGGGCTGGCTGGGAGAACCGGAGCAGTGGGCTGGAGTGGGGGAATATTGAGGGGATTAGGCATGCTGCTAATCCAACAGTAAAAATCCATCAGGGACGGATATGGCCCCCATTTCACCACAGGCAATCTGGCCAGTTTTAGCCTTTCTCATCATTCAGCAGTGATACACAGGGCCAGTGATAAATGAGTGGGTTTGTGTTTCCGATTCACTCTCTATTTAGATAAATGACAAATTGATAGATAACTCCACGTACACATGAGGTTAATAAATACCTCCACTCCAAGCTGAAAGAGACTCTCAGAACCTGGTATTGTAGCTCCTGGTGACTCATTCCTGCTGTAAGTGTGCAGCCTCTTCCATAGCAGTGGGGGCTGATGGAGGGGGACTGTCAGAGTCGTTTCTGGTTGCACAAAATGCTGCTGGGCCCTCCCAGTGCAGATCTGAGGGAGTACTGCATTGTCAGCGGTGCCGTCTCTCAGACCAGGTGAGATGTTACACTGTCCTCTCAGTTGAGTGAAAGAGTTCCCTTGGCCACTACTTGGAAGAAACACAGGGGAGATTCCCCCATCCCTCTCGCCCTCCCCTTCTAGTGGCCTGGCCAACACTTAATACTCAACCGATGCCATTAGAGAAGAATATTTTATTTCTCATGGCTGGTTCCAGGATCTTGCTATGTACAAAGCATCAACTTTCTGAAATGTTGAAAATACCATATTACCCCCCATCAAGTTTTAACCTAGGACCTTCAGGTTTGATGATGATCAATGAATCACTCCCAAAACAGTCCAGGGAGTTCGCTTGTCTCAGTTGCTGATTTTTTTCACAAACCGTGATTGACAGCCATCCCAGAAGAATCCCAAACTGCGAAGGACATGGGGGTGAATTCATTGCAAAAAACCCCAGCTGTGGATCTGGCACTAAGTCAACAGCAATTGTACAGTGAATCACAGCTCACTCAGTCTCAGGGACAGAGAGAGAGAGACAGAGAGTGAGCAGAGTGATACTGGGTCGCTGCTATACTTGATGGTGATTGGAAACCATGGGCTGAATTTTAGCTTCAAGGCCCTGATCCCAACACCGGGCTGTATTCCACGCGCAGATCCTAAAAGGTCCGTGTCGAGACATACGTAAAGATTAGGAGCAGGAGTAAGCCATTCGGCCCCTTGAGCCTGCTCTGCTTTTTGATAAGATCATGGCTGGCCCAACCATGAATTCAACTCCACTGCCCAGCTACCCATAATTCCCCTGTCAGTGAAGAATCTTTAAGCTCTGCCTGAAGAAAATTCATGACCCAGCCTCCATCACCCTCTAGGAGATTTCCAGAATCTGATGAAGCCTGAAAAGGAAACTATTTCTCTTTATCTCCACCTTAAACAGGAAACCCTTTATTTATATAAATTGTGCCTCCTGGTTCCAGTCTCTCTCACAGGGAGAGAATCTGCTCTATCAGGCTACTTCAGGATCGTATCTGTTTCAATGAGATCACCTCTCATTCTTCTAAACTCCAATACCCAGTCTTACCAACCATTGGACAAAAGGATGAAAGGACTTCAGAATGAAAGGAACTGAAGAAGGGTCACTGGACGCGAAAAGTTAACTCTACTTTCTCTCCACGGATGCTGCCGGACCTGCTGAGATTTTGCATGAATTTTAGTTTCCATTTCTGGATAATTGGCTCCCCTTCAAGCACCTTCAAAATTGACTTCCTCCACCAACAAAACTCAGTAGCAGCAGTATGTACCATCTACAACATGCACTGCAGAAGTTCACCAAGGTTCCTCAAACAGCTCCTTTCAAACATGACTACCATCTAGAAACACAAGGGCAGTAAACACATGGGAACACCATCACCTACAAGTTCCCTCCAGCCGCCCACCCTCTTGGAAATTTATCACTTCCTTCATTGTCACTGGCTCAGAATCGTGGAACTCCCTCCCCAACAGCATGCTGGGTGTCCCACAGCAGGTGGACTGTAGCGGTTCAAGAAGGCAGCTCACCACCACCTTCTCAAGGGGCAACTAGGGGCGGGCAATAAATGCTGGCTCAGACAATGACACCCATGTGCCAGTGGTGAATTAAGAAATACTCACGTGTGACCCCATCAGTCCCATCCAGAAGTTTCGGCACATAATGGAGAGCAGAAAGGTCACTCTGAAGAATTTCATTTGTTGTTGCCCTTGCCAATGCCGCAGCCAATGAGAAAGGGGCATTACTGAAAAGGAAAAGACACAGATGATGATTGGATGAAAAAATGTCACTTTCCTCGATGGGGGATCTCTTGCCTGTTCCATAATAGTCCTGGAGCCAAGATTGATCTGATGGGATGAGCTGGTGCATTGATTTGGTGAACAAACACAAACACTACTTAACGGAAGTTTTAAAAAAGCAGCAAGTTCTGGAGGAACTCAGCAGGTCTGGCAGCATCTATGGAAACAGAGATACAAAGTTAGTGTTTCGCTACCAATATGACTCGTCTTTGGAATTCAAGACTCTCCCCTTCTCTCTCTCTCTCCCCAACCCTGCATGGATGCTGCCAGACCTGCTGAGTTTCTCCAGCACTTTCTGTTTTTATTTCAGATTTCCAGCATCAGCAGTAGTTTGCTCTAATCTTACGGAAGAAACCTTTGAAGGCCAAATGAATATATTCAATTTTGCAGTGAACACACATCAAAGGGAATGTGATCTCGCAGGCTTGGTTTTGAGTATTGAAGGGGATCGAAGAGAATTCACCCAGATCTTACTCCCTCGTTTTTGGTCCCTGGGTTTTTTTGTCCTGCTCTAGGAGATTACACAGTCTTTGGAGAGAGTCATAAGTGCCTAATCATGTTGCTCCAGACAATGTCAGGCAGGTTTGATGGAACAACCCGTCTTTTCCTGTCTTTCATTAGCTTATGTAACTGAGTAAAGTGGATTAGATACCAAGATAATCTTCAGGCTCACCACACTAAGGAGGATTTTGTTTGAGACTTTTCATTATTTGGCTATGTTTTCATATCATCCCTCTCCCTTGACACACCAACCAGAATCCAGTAGGGTTCTGAAGAAGGGTCACTGGACCTGAAACGTTAACTGTTTCTCTCCATAGATGCTGCGTTTCTGCAGCAATTTATGATCCTGTTCCCTAATATTTCCTCTCAGTTGGGACTTCTGATCCTTTAAACTTGCATGGTCTTAGGACCTTTGACTCAGGAAACTACAAAGTCTTTTTGCAGCCAATGAAATACTTTCTAGAGTGTGCTGACTTCTGTAAGTAGCAGCCAATTTGCACACAGCAAGCTATTAAAAGGCCAGGCTGCCTGCTTTTGGCATTGTTGCCCAAGGGATGGATATTACCCAGGACTCCAGGGACAACCTGCCTAAGCATCTTCAAACCAGCTTTTCAGCTGAGAGGATGATTGATGTCTCAGTTTAACACAGCCTAACAGGGCTGCACTCCCTCAGTACTTTGATTCTGTGAAGGTTTTATACTGGGATTTACTGATGTTTAAATGAATAAACATTTTATTTTCTTCCCATCTGGCGTCCAACACCTTCCCAAAGATTCCCAAAAGAACCGCGGATGCTGTAAATCAGGAACAAGGTGTTCCTGTTTTGGGTGTTCGGAGGAAGGGTCACCAGACCCGAAACGTTAACTCTGTTTTCTCCTTCACAGATGCTGCCAGACCTGCTGAGCTTTTCCAAAAACTTTGTTTTTGTTCCAAAGATTCCCAGATGCAATGAGACAATGGAGCTCCTGGCACAGTACAATGACTGGCATCGTACTAGTCTAACTGAGCCAATGTAATAGCAGGCAGAGTGGGACATCCCTGTATCATCACCTTAAACTGGCCTCCTCTGTATAACAGCGGAGCTGGGGAGTTGTAACTGACTGGTTTTGCTTTACAGAGAACAAGTAATTGTCTGAACATCAGTAACAGCAATACGTTCTTAACTTGCCGCAGTCTGCAAGGGCACAGGGTAATTCAGGGATAGGAATAGGAATAACAAGTTAATCTAGGACAAACAGTTCAACAGATGAACTTGTCCTTTTATCTGCTCCTGGGGCTTTGTACTATTTTTAATCAACATTATAAACAGCAACATCCCAAATAGCAGATTAATGTCCCACTGGCACATTCCACAATGGACCATCCATCATTCCAGCGATAACACTCCAATTCTCACCCCCATCCCCTAACCA